GCTGGCGCAGCTCCTGGTACACATACCACCACTTCCACCACTACTACAACTACAACTACCACTTCTAATCCAAATAATATCGATGGAAACATCGTAAACTCATTGATAGATGAAAGCGTGGTACTGGATGACGACGACGACGACGATGACGAAGATCTAGAAGAACTATCAACTACAAATATATTCCATTCAGACCACCAGTTTCTTTACTCAAAAGACCCCTCTCATCACCCTTTGATAGTCAACGGAGCAAGATATAAATATAAAAAACAAAGAACCATCTCTTTGCCACAATTGCCATATGCAAAATTACTATACAATACTACTATAATAGATCAACACTCAAATGAAGGCCATTACACCTATAGAGGTGGTGCCACTCAGAACGATGACGAACTATTGAATTTAACTGGAAATTCAAATATAACCCTGGATTCAAATAAATTAGTAGACTTGACAGTTATAAGATCACTCTCGCCAACTGTCACCTCAGACTACTCTTCTCACCCTATCAAGAGAAGACTATCTTCAATAACCAAATACCACAGACTGCATCATCACACTTCTTCTTCCACAAGCGCATCTTCTTCAAGCCACAGCTCTTCTCGTAACGAGTCTCACTTCCAAACTGATAAAGACGGCCACTATGTGTACAAAGCAAATGATATCTTTTGTGATGGTAGATTCATCGTAAAGGAACTACTAGGCCAAGGAACCTTTGGAAAAGTACTCAAATGCAAAGACAATCTAGATTCTGGAAATCTAGTCGCCGTGAAAGTAATAAAAGCAATCGAGAGATATAGAGAAGCTGCAAAAACTGAGCTGAGAATTTTACAAACTATTCATGATAATGATCCATTAGGAAATTATCAATGTATTCTATTGAATGAGTGCTTCGATTACAAGAATCACATCTGTTTAGTGACAAACTTATACGGCAAGTCCATTTATGATTTCATGTGTTCTAACGCCATCGCAAGGTTCCCTGGGTCTCAAGTACAAGCAATTGCAAGACAGCTCATAAGATCGGTCTGCTTCTTACATGATTTAGGAATAATCCATACAGACCTAAAGCCAGAAAATATTCTCTTGGTAGATGATTCTCACTATATCTCAAAGCAATTACCAAAGGAAAAATTATCTTCTCTAAGTTTAAGAAGGAAGAATGCAAGTAATGGCGGTATTCATAAAATTTTAGTCAATCCAGAAATTAAAATTATAGATTTTGGTTCAGCTATTTTTTATAACGAATACCACCCTCCAATCATATCTACCAGACATTACAGGGCCCCAGAGATTATCTTGGGTTTAGGCTGGTCTTACCCCTGTGACGTTTGGTCAATAGCATGTGTACTGGTAGAATTGGTTACTGGTGAATCATTATACCCAATACACGAAAATTTAGAACACTTAGCTATGATGCAAAGAATTAATGGTCAACAATTACCAAAGAAAATTGTGGAGAAAATGTTTTATAAAGTTACGCATAAATTAGGCAACTTGCCTGCAGATTTAAATACCACTGTCGTAAGGCATTTCGACAGGAAAAGCTTAACATTACAATGGCCAGAAGTTAATAAAAATGGTGATATGGTGACTACAGAAAAATCGATGAAAAGAGTAAGAGATTCTTGTGATAGACTGGATCTACACATCTCAAGAAAAATATCCACCGATTTCTTTGGGGACAATTCCCTTACAATTAACTGGAATCTATCGCCAGAACAGAATTGGAATTTAATAAGGCAAAAGTTATCAAGTTATAACTCACACTACCCAAATTCATCTTCGACACCAAATTCTCCAAATAATTCCTTATCATCTTCTCCACAAAATTACTACTATCCAAATTCTTCTAACATTAACTCTAACGGACTAAGCTCATTCTCTTCAAGTCAAAATTCAGATAAAGTTCCTCTAGACAAAGAAACGTTCTTGTTTTGGTACTGGTTCGTTGATTTGTTGAAAAAAATGTTCGAATTCGATCCTACTAAAAGAATAACTGCAAAAGAAGCATTGGATCATGAATGGTTCAACTTAGGTATTTTAGATGACGGTATTTCAAGTTTTGAAAACTTTTTAGCATAAATGTTTCAAAGGTGCTATGTTATTATTCATTTTAAAGTTGTAACAAAAATCAGAAAAAAAAAACAAATAACATGAACAAAATAAAAATAAAATTAATAAAAAAAAAATGTTCAACAGAAAATAATCCCACAAGAAACACTCATTAGTATTCCTTATGTTTCGTTTTCTTTTAATCATTTTCCTTTATTTTTTTGTTTTTCTGTTTGTATCATTTCCTCTTCTCTAATTAATCTAATCATTTTTAATAATACCCATCATTACATTTCTTTATATAGATATATTTAATATATTTAGTATATTTATATATTTGATAATATTCCTTACCTCAAATTAATGTTAACTTCAATATATTCTATATATTAAATAATGTGTTTTATTCATACTGTCATCAAATATCTCTGTTCCTCGATATTAATTCATTGTAAAATAAACTCATTAAATACGAAGTGTCTCGACTGCTTTAAAAAAATACTTTTGGATTGTGAAGCTTTAATTTTGAAAAATCTGAAAAAAATAAGACTTGAAAAGGAATTAAGTTCAACGATGTTTAGTTCTCAATCTAGAAGAACATAGAGCTCAACAGTCCAGGAAGTTTGGCTTTATATATCGAGATCTTATTTATATTATCAGACCGCTGCTAATTTGGAATTAAAGGAGAGTTAGTGTATTCCATTTTGTATCAATTATTATTTTTATTTTTTTATTTTTAGCCAATTGTAAATAGTCCAAGATAATGATCTCTTTAAGACAACGAACTGCTGGGTTAAAAGCAATTTTAAACCCAACCCGTTCTATCACATATCTACACTCAGGAACTAGAGTAAGGGGTTTGAAAAGGGACCCAGCAAGTTTTTTGGTTAGTCCTAAAGGTGTTAAATATGATGAATTGAATAGAACTGAATTTAATGAAAAAATTGATAAAATTTTGAACCTGTCAAAATATGATATAAAAGTACCAAATGATTTATTATTACAATGCTTTACTCACAAATCCTTTGCACATGGTATTAAACCTTACAATGAAAAGTTATCCTTGTTAGGTTTACAATTTTTAAAATTACAAGCTGGTATATATTCCATTAGTCAATCGGTAAATTTATCACCAGTACAGGCAGGAAAGATTCAAAAACAAATTGACAACTTGAATTTTACTAATCTAGGTACACAATTCTCAAAATTAATTATATCTAAATATTCAACTTCGAAGTTTATCATTGAAAAAAATTTGGATTCGTTGATCTTTTGGAAAATGAGAGATCCATTCAAGGCTAAGAATTATAATGGTGACCATACCATTAATTCTACAGTCTTAGCTGCATTGATTGGTGGTATATTAAAAACTAATGGTCCTGCAAAGACTGCAAATTTTATTACAGGTGAGTTGTTAAATAATGACAACACCGCTTCTTTATTAAAATTTGCTAATGAAAAACAAAGTATAGACCAAAATAAGATTGAATAAATTCACAAATTAGAACAATAATCTAATATTCAGACCACCAACTTTAACGTACTTACAGAATGCATTATACAAATATCCGTTATTAATTCATCAGTTTAAAATAAACACTATGACAATATCATCATTTATACTGATACCGAATATTACTGTAAATAGAAAATTTAATAATATGTCTGTATATTTATATTTATATATAGATAAATTCTGTTAATATCATTCTACTGGATAAAAAAATAAATTGAAGAGATGCTTACAATCTTTTCCTTAGTAGCTTTACCAAGCATTTCTAAATTTAATAGAATAACAATGAAGGAACTAAAATATAATAGATAAAATTTTCATTTAATTCTTTTAATAACAATAATAATACACTCATCTATAAAAATATTATTTATACAGATATATTTAGTTTGAAGATTCTTCCTTCAAGCTAGCCTCTTCAACACTCTTCACCAGCTCTTTAGTACACTTTGCAATATCAAAAGCAATGCCTGCTAATCTTTGTTTAAATTGTTTATCAGCATACTCATTATCTGAAGCATTTTCTTGTATTAAACCATCCTCATTAAATTCACATAAGGTAATAATTCTACGGCTACAATCTTCAAGACTTTGAACAACCCAACTACCGTGTTCTTTCAAATGATAATTACGGGTTTGTTCCATAGATATGCTAGTTGCACTAACCATCTGACTGATGACATTATTAATATCAAATGCTTCTCTTTTCAAACCACCTTTTGTTGAACTAGTGTCCTTTATAGAAGTTAACAAAGTTTGAATGGTAGAGATTACTTCTACTGTTTGATGCTCGACATAAGACAAAAGTTCCGATAATGTATTTTCTGGATTATTAACTTCAAAATTTTCAATATCAAATTCATCACTAACTTCTGTTTCACTATTATCATCCTCTATATCGTTTATGTCGGTTGATTTTGAAGAAGGTTCGGAAGATTCAGTCGTTCCAGGCTCATCAACAGTAACAAATTCAAATTCAGTATTATCATTGTCTGTATCTAGGTCTTTATGCATATGAGTTTCATTTCTCAAAGTTGAATCACCATGTTCATCCATATTTTTGTCATTTTTCAATTCGCGGCTATTATGTTCAGTGTCTGGACTTGTTACAGAGATATCTGGACCATTAACTTTTACACTATCATCTCTATCAATGCTCTTCATATTTGTATTTAAATGTGGAGATTCAATTTTACGTACAGTTGCAAAGTCAACCGTATTGACTTTAGGCTCCATTGAAGTGGATTCATCTTTAATGGTTGGACTATTTGAAGAGTGATTTTCCGATGATGTATCTGCTTTAAATGCTGGAGATTCTGATGATACAATGCCTAGACCAATACCTTTATTTTTTTCAGGATCATTATTATAACCCTCCTGTGTGATTGTTGGTGATTGAATAGCTCTGATCGAACTCTTGACAGACTTACTATTGTTATCTTGTCTATCAATTTTCTTAGAAGATATTTCTTCATTGGATTTTGATGTTGGTCTTGTTTCCAAAATGGAAGAAAACATACTAGTACCAGATGGTTTTCTAAAAGTTGATTTCTCTAAAATACGGTTTGCTTTTTGAGTAATTTTTAGTGGCTTAACAGGTGATATTTCTTCTTGGCCATCATCTTCCAAAAAACTTGAATTCTCAATTGAAATTGAAATGTTAGGTCTAGAAGAACTTGCAATTGAACGAACTGGAGAGTTAGGAATGGATTCGTCTTCAGTGTTGTTTAAAGTTGCATTAAGTGTCAAATCAAAATTATCATTTGGGGTAATTTTACCAACCGAAATTAATTTACAGAGGGCAAATATTAATTCAGCAGCAGCAGCTTGTACTGTGATCTTTGGTAAGATTTCACCATAGACTGCATAATATCTTACTGAACTGATCAAATGAGATAGAGAAGCCCTCAGTAAAGTTAACTGATCTCTAAATTGTGAAATTTTGAATAATTCAACAACTTTATCTATTTGGTTTGTTAATTGAAATAATATCTCAAATAGTTCATTACCAATGTCTGATTGATCAGATTCCAAAACACTAAAGAATGATTGAATTGATAAATTAATTTCTGATACGAAGTAAAATGGAATCTGACCAGCTTCGGATATGAATTTTGTAATCGATTCTTCATTTAATGAGTACTTTGGTAGTGTAGCATTTGCTGATTTCTTTGCTCTCTGTAGTTGTTTATCTTTGTCTTTAATTTCAAGTTCTGTTATTCTTTGTCTTAGTTTCTCATTCTCTATTGAAAGTGCACTTACCTTTTCGCTAAAATCACACAATTCTGCTTTCATGGGTTCATTTTGAATCCATTTGGACTGATCATTATTTACTGACTTGGTGGTATCAATTGGATTGACTGCAGGTGAGGACTTGACTGGTGATGATGATTCTAAAATTGATAAATCTTCATTATCAACAAAATCAAGTCCTTCTTCTAAGTCTTTACTTAATTTAGGTAGAGCAGCTTCATCCTCTCTTATGAAGTTTTCATCATTTTCAAGTGATTTCCGGACCTCCTTTTCAATGTCTTTACTCGGTTCTTCAACTTTCTCATATTGCTCTTTAGAATACTTACTTTGTTCATCAACTGTCTTTTCCTTTTCTACAACATCAGTAGTCTGTTCTTCAATCGGACTTTTTGGAGCATCAAAAGCATAATATTTCTCGATTGGACTAAATATACTATGAGCAGGAGAATTATTTGATGGTGACATTTGCATATGTTCCATTGGAGGTTTGGAAAACATGATATCTTCATCAGGAACGAACTTATTTGATACCTTTTTATTTACTGGCGTTTTCAAAATAGAGTTGGCCTCTTCCTCTTTTGTCTCAATTTCATCGTTACTGGTATTGGTCTCACCAGAAATTGTCTCTGTGTTAATGTCTTTAGTACTTGGCTCATCCTCTTCCTCATCTGATGACCAGACCATTGAAGCTTTCTTTGGTATGATATTTGAGGATTGTAAACCCGAAGGCTCTGGTTTTGGAGAGTTAATCGATTCATCTCTAGAGATTAAAATCGATGGTTGTGTATTTTCAGTGAAGTCTGTTGTATCATTGTTATATTTTGAATCATCTTGATTTTTGCTAAAATCGTCACTCGATCCACTTTTATCATTTAAAGCTTCACCATATCCTCTTCTTTTAATCTCATATAATATATCGTCAACTAAATCACCGAACCTTGTCATAGTTAAGGTAGACAATTTTTCTCTGGCTTGATTTCTCTTTATGTGGAATGCATCTTTTGGCAAAAGATGATCGGTTTGATTGTCATTTTCGCTGATTCTTCTTTGTAATTCATCATAAACATCTGTACTTAGTTCATAAAATTGAGAATCAGAAAGTTTAAGTAGCTTTCCTCTTGCCTTTTGAGCTCTTGATGATGCTGAACGCTCTTGTGCTATACCAGTGACCTTGAAGAAAGTTTCCAATTCATCATGATACTTCTTCATAGACTCATGTTGAGAACCGTTTAGACTCTTCATTGTCTTTAACTGTTATATTGATTATGCTTCTTGGACTTTATTCCTGTGTGTCTCAATTGACCTAACCTATATATAGCAGTGGGTATTTTGAAATTGAAAGGTGCTTTAAATCAGTATCCAACGAGGTTTTAAATTTAATTATTATATATTTAATTGATAAAATTCCAATGTGATTTGTTTAAGTTTAAGATTATAAAGCTTTCAAAAATTAATTCAGGATGAAAGCATTTTCATTACTGATGAGGTTATACCAGGTCCAAGATACATTTTGATGGTAATCTTGATCAAGTAAAATGCAAAAAAAAAGATTAAAATTACTTTCTTATTAAAATAACTACAATGATCTCTGAGTAATCTTAGTAGAACGCGAAACTTCTAATATATTTTTTCTGATGTAAAAATTAACGTGTGATAAATGTACCGACAAAATATATAATAAAGTTTAAATAAGACGCGTAAAGGGAGGAAAGATCAATAAATTGGCAGAGACAGAGAGATATCGAAATCCATTGAACATGATAATGAATTATATAGATACCATTTTGGTGTAGAAACTTTAAATCTCCACTCAAAATCCACAGGCAATGATGAACAATTTTGAATCTAAATTTATTTTTAGAGGGACATTATTTAATCTTGTCTATTTATTTTTTCTTGATAATTAGTTAATTGTCTTGCAGACTTTTTTCTAGTAACAATTGACTTTAGGTTTACGATGATTTCATGGGCCAAATAAGTCTCAATTTACATCATCCAACTGCATGTAGTACTTTATGATATATATATATATATATATATATATATTTCACATAAAATATTTCCTTTCCTGCCGTCTTAGTTTGCTTTTTGTTGTTGTATGAGACGAGAGAAAGCTTTTCTTTTGATCACAAGCAAATGAACAATCAACAAATATTGCCAGAGTTCATAGGAGATAAGTGGTGTTTCTTATATTTATTACAGCGATTTATTTTGTTTTAACCATCAAGGAAATAGTTATTGTTGATATTGCATTAATTACGTTCATGCGATAAATACCGCTTATTTTAAGTGTCCTTGAATAAAATATATTTTTGATAGCTACATAGAATATGATATAATTAAACAATGATACTATGCGTAGATATAATTTCTTGATTACTTTTGAGAAACATGGATTATAAAATTTTTTGAATTTTTGTTTTATTTTATTTTATTTTTTTACATACTTTAAAATTAACATTTAAAGGACAACGTTGATTAATATCGATAAATCTTTAATGAGAAATGGTAAATAGAAGATAGGAGGTAGTTAAATAGGGAGATAACAATACTTGAAAAGATTAAAACATTAAGATATTTTTTGAATCTAACGTAAGAAACCCTTCTTCTTTTGAGCAGGAGAACTTGTCATTTGATTTGCAATAGACATTTCTAATTGATGCTTCTTTTCTTCCAATGCTTTTAATTGTTTTGTTAATTTTTCTTTCATTTCCTTATGTCTGGCAAATAATTCAGCTTCAGATTTTTGTAATTTCTTTTCCTTTTCTGAGACTTTGGTTTGGAAGACAGATTTCATTTCGGCTTCTAATTTAGCAAGTTTTGCTTCATGTAATTGTTTGTCTTCTTTTTGTCTAGTTTCAGGATCAAATTCCTTAAAAACTAAATTATCTTGGTTAATACCCAATTTTGTTAATTTTTCAGATCTATAATTTTCATATAATTCATTATTTGTTCTTTCACGCAATTCTTCTAAATATTGTCTTACCAAGTAATCACGCAAGTATACGAAATCGTTATGGTTAGCATTATCAACTTCCACAATACCCCATGGATACGATCTACCTCTTACCTGTTTACCTTCACCATTTACCACTAGATCAGTGGATCCAACGACGGCAAATGGCAATTTATTGTATAATTCGTCTGTCAATTTAATTGTTTCTTTATCATCCAATTCATAGTGAGGAGGTTTGAATAATTTAACACCAGCTTCTTGTAATTGTTTTGTAATTTTTCTTTTAAAAGAGTCGATTTCTTCTTCGGTTAAAATGTCAGATTTAGCAATAATTGGAATCAAATTACATTTTTCATGAATTTGTTTACAAAATTCTAAGTCCAATGGCTTTAAGAAATGAGCAGTTGGTTCGATGAAGTACAAACAGGCATGAATTCTGTTATCTTCAATTACCGATCTGTTGATTCTATTTTCGGCATCCAAATATTGATCGAATCTAGAGTCTACTTCTTTAATAATTGGTTCCCACGAGTTTGTGTTATCGATAGAATCACCAAAACCTGGAGTATCTACGACAGTTAATCTTAAATTAACACCATTTTCTTCAATGATTGTAGATACAGATTCGATTCTAACATTTGGTTGATTTGATTCACTGTTACCATTACTGCTATTGTGTTTATTGTTGCCATTGTTTGAGCTTACATTATCAGTATTAGTGTTTTCAGCACTTTCTTCATTTGAGATAGTATTATTATCATCTTCTAATTTAATTTTATCTAAATTATCGGTAGTTGAATTAACAATATTAGAACCATTTTCTTCATTATAAATGTTTTTGTTAAACAATGTATTGATCAAAGTTGACTTACCCAAACCAGTTTGGCTTACACATAAGATGTTTAAATTAAAACCTTTTTTAATTGATTTTCTATGCCATTGCTTTGGTAAATTAGCGAAGCCTACATAATTTGTTATTTTACGACGAATAATTCTTAAATCTGGTTGTTCCGGTAAAACTTGACTCAATACTTGATTAGAATCAATTGCAGAATTTCTATTTGATTTTTGACGTTCGAATTCATTTAAAGAGATTTGTTCATTATTTTCCAACATGCTTTTTGAACTTGCATTACTATTACCCAAATCGTTTGATTGATCTTGTGTAACTGAATTGATCCCAAGTGATCCATCCATGTCTTCTTGTTTAATAGGAATCTGGGATGTTGCTACTGTCATTTTTATCAGTATCTTTTTTTTTTTTTAAAATATTCTACCCACCCTTTGGTTAATTCTCTTGAAATAATATCCAATTGTTTGAATTGAATATAAATAGTATCTCCAAATATACTATAACTATGTAAAATAAAGATATCAAATAAGTTTGTTAATAAGGATAATAAAAAACAGAAAAATATATATATCTATGTTTGTAATATTCTTATGATCTGTTTTTTATTATTTAATTTTATATTTTTCCAATTCTATTCTATTCTATTGAAATTGAAATCGAAATTGAAATCGAAATTGATATAGACTAGTAATATTGGATCAACAATTTAATGGATAAACTTGCTTAACAAAACAGTTCGAAAATGAAAGAATTATCTAATATTTGATACGTTCCAATTGTATTAAAAAAAAATAACAAACTAAATCTGTCTTCTTTTTTTTTTTAAATACAATAGTTTTTATTACACAAATGAATCAATAAAATCGAACAAAAACAAAAGAGATTGAATATATTGAAACTCTTTTTTTTTATTAATTTATGGTAGTTCCACAGAGATGTACCAAATAATCTAAATATAAGTAGCTTATAATACAAATCCCGTTTTGATCCAGTAAATATAAATCAAAATGGAAGTAATAACAGTAAATTAATCTTTTTTTTTTGAGATGAAGCTAATACAATTGTAATGCTAAAGAATCCTAATCACAAATTATTAAATTGAGTATTAAATTGATTGTATATATTAATCATACACGTCAAATGGAAGACAACAATAATAATAACATACAAAATTCGAAATTTGAAATCCAAAATCAATAATAAACAAATAATTAAATGAATAAACAAATAAATGAATGAACAAATGAATTATCGAATTAATGATAATGAGTTAGTTATGTGGGTTTTGCACACAAAATTCTGTTAACTAATTAACCTGACAATTGATTAGATCAAAAATTGCATCAAACAGTAGTTTAACACATTTTTGTTTGTAACTTAGATCAAACAGAATTCGAACTTGTATAGCGTTTTCCTTTTCTTTTTATTTTTTCTTATTAGCATATTAATCTTCGAACTCTCTAAGGTTTTCCTGAAAAAAACCCAAAAAAAACATAAACCAAATCCGAATCGAGATCAATTTGTGTTGTTGCTGCAGTTGCTTCTCCTTCTCATGCAGTTGCTGTATTTTTTCTTTTTTTTGTTTTCTGTCTTTCTTGTGTATTTCGAATAATTCTCTACGGTTAAACAAAGAACAAGAGCAGCAGTTGCATCATATACTCTATACAATTATTGTCTTTTTCGAATCAACCAAGCGCCAAAAAAACAATTTTACAAGTGCTTCAATAAATCGAAACGAAGCGAAACGAATTGAAACCGGTACAAAACGACACAGGAAGAACATTTTATTGGAAACCGCTTTTGGGCATTAGAAAATACATGTCTTTTGTTTGAGAATAGTTTGTACCGGGAAATGTATTATAAAAGGGGAAACGTTCTATTCAGATTACCGTATTTGGATTTATTCTAGTTTGGGAAATTAGAAAATTTTAAGGGAGGGTAACGATATAGTAGTCGTGTGATATGATTTGTCTTATCGTGTGTGTTTTGTGGAAATGAAAGCAATAGAGAAAGAGTTATGTTATAAATCGTAATCACGTGCTTGATAGTTCAAATTATATATTGAACCAAAAAATTTTTGTTCAACCATTATTAAATCTTGTGTCAGTAAAAAATACTGCTAGGCTATTTATTAATATATAAACCTTTTAAAACATTTTGTGGTTTTATTTCATCTTCTTTAAAATATTTTTCAAATAATTAAGTATGACTATTAATGCAATTATTATAAAACTACAACCTATTAAATACTTTATTTAATATTGATGCCATTTGTGATAAGTTTCTTATTCTTAAATTTTCATTATCAAGATGTGCATTGTCAGTAGACTGTCCACAAGGTATTTGTACTGCTGGTGCATCAAATATCATCTCCAATGTTCTTACACATGGAATAGACCCACCTTCTCTTACTAATAATGGTTCCATATCCCATGCAATTGCTACTTCTTCTTTTAGCAGTCTGTATGCAGTACTATTAGGATCTCCTAACCAACCACTTGCCTCGTTAACAATATTGATTTTCAAATGATTTTTAGTCTTCAATTCATTAAAACATTGCTCAATGTAATTAATAAAATCAGTTTTGATCTTCTCAACAGATTGTTCTGGTACTAACCTAATCGATACACCGATTGATGCTAGCTTGGGTATAACTGTTATATTGCCTGGTCCACTGGTCTTCATTGATGTTATCGATAATGAAGGCATAGTCCAATTTGCAATTAAGTCTTCCAATGTTAAATTCCTATTCATCGTTGTTACTTCAATCACTTTTTGAATTCTTTCTTTATCATCGGAACTTAATGGAACTATCGACTCATAAAAATTAGGAATTTTAATATAATCATCTTCATTTTGCAATTTAGATATAATAGATACTAAATCAGAAACTGGTTCCATATGGATCCCACCAGCTAAACCCGAATGACTATCTGGCTCATCACTAAATATTTGAATCTCTGCATTAATTACACCTCTTAATCCATAATTTAAACATGGATGATCTTTATCAACCCATGTAGAATTACTTAGAAAAATCCAATCAACTTTAGGTCCAATCAAATCTTTATATTTAACACAAATATCTTCTAATCCTAATGAGCCGATCTCTTCGTTACCTTCAATTAAAAAGACAACATCATTTACCAGTGAATTTTGTTGAAATAATGACGCAACCGCATAAATAGCAGCTACCAATGGTCCTTTATTGTCACTAACACCTCTTCCCTTCATGTATCCATTTTCACAAGTTAATCTAAATGGATCAGTATTCCATAAATTAGTATTACCAGATGGTATAACATCGTAATGACCATACCATAATATTCTTTTTTTATTATTATTATCAGGGTCCCCGTTGAATTGGGCAAAGACAACTGGATTTCCAGTAGAGGCAGGGAATATTTGGGTTTTACTAGCACCAAATTCAACAAATAATTGTTGCAAATGATTAGCACATCTTCTTGAATCCATTTGCTGTGTGGTATCCGGATTTTGTGATACTGTCTGAAATGCTATTAATTCTCTAACTGTATCCAGCATAGAATCATTATCTAATACAGCCGGTTTATAATACGTAATGGAATTGGAGCGTTCTCTAATACATTGATGTTCCGTATATTTATTCTCTGTGGAATCACCAATGTTCATCAAATGAGACAAATTCCATAAAGTCAAAGAACCATCATTACCACCGGTAAGTAAACTGACTGGTTTGTTACAAACATTACATTTCCTTTCAAATACTTCTGAACTTAATATTTTACCTTGATTCGGATCCCAATTATGGAATTTATTATCATAGAAATGAGTAATTCCTGATTCATTAATGGCAAATACATGGTTGTGATAAATTGATAAGGAAATGATATCGTAGGGATCCGGCGTACGTAAAGTTGAAACAAGCTGTCTAGTATTCAAGTCCCAAATCTTCAGAACACCATCAGAAAGACCACAGTACAAAAATGGAAATTCAAATGTTTGAGATAATACACTGTCGTCATTGTCAAAAAATTCCGGATCTAAATCAACAGAAATTTGTCCAATACTATCTTTTGTCACTTTCCATAATTTACTCAAACCATCACCACCACCTGTAATTATAAATTCCTTAGCAACAATACTTTTATCATTATTTTCTAAAAATGTATGCTGTAATCTATATATGGAATAGATAAAACCATTGTGTGCGTAACTTATAATATTTTCGGAAGGTATCTCTAAGATACAATTGTTAATTAAATTTTCTGGAGAACTTGTGGAAAATAAAGGTGAATCAATTTTCTCTTTAGATTTTAAATTACCTCCAGGTCCATTCGAATCAAAAAACTTATCATATCTTCTATGTGGTAATCTTTCGAAATCAGTGTCAGAATTAAAATCTTCACTTTTTATTCTTTCTTGTAAATTATCTAAGAATAACATACTTGCATTCTGACAACCAATAAAAAGAGTATCTAATGAATCTAGATATCTTATTGAGAAGATATCACCAATATCTGTAATTGTATATATTGTCGCATTTTCATTTATTTGAATATAGCTATCTCCATTCATTTCTCCAACAGACCAAATTCTCACTAAAGAGTCTGCACCTGCAGAAAAAAGGTACTTTTCATCATCTGAACGTGTCATACATAAGACACTAGACCTAGTATTTACATCATTTAATGAACCTAACCTTATAGTCTTTATTAAATTATAATTTGGCATATCAAATACTAAAATTTTTGAATCTTGAGTACCTGCAAATAATAAATTTTTTGATGGAAACGGAACAATTGACAATATAGAATAAGAATGATTCCATCTATGAATCAACTCCGGATATAATAACACATTAGAATTATCACGACCTCTCTTCTTTGAATTATTATAATTTATCATCTCCTAACTATTATGACTCCGATACTAAACTGTCTTAGTTTAGATAATATGCAAATTAGGGATTAACAAATTCTTAGAAAAAATGTTCAAACTAAAAATTTCAGTATAAACTTTATTCCAAATATTTAAATTTATTTAATCCTTAAATGATATCCTTATATAAATATCATAATCAATCAGTAAGTTATTATACAATTTTTAAATTTCAACCTCTAAATATCTCAGTTATTACTATATCAGATAATCGTTATTACTTCTTCTAATTCATAATACCGAAAAATAAAAATCGATGAGATTTGAATCATTTTTTTTTTTAAATTTTGAGAGAAAAATAAAATATCAATCAATTCACGTGACCAGTATCGATTTTAAGAAAATATTCGAAATGAACTGAAAAATATAGAATTTTTGAATATTTCAGTAGTAGATGATTGAACTAAAGATTTTAAAAAGCAATCTAATATCCTATTATCCACTTCAGTCACAGTACTTCAGTTCCGATCCTCAGTTGCTGTAGATCGAATAGGCTCTATATAGGTGCTAGAATAATTTGAAAGTAAGTCCAAATAAAGTCTAATTCGCAGAATTGTTTAATTTGAACAAATTATTAGCTTAAAATGAGAGCCACATTAGTAAACTTATTTCATGAATCTCCTGTATCACTATTGACCAGACCTTGGAAGAAGACTCGTGATGGTACTTTATTCTATGGTTTATCCAAGTCAGGTAATATACGTACCACTTTGACTACAAAACAAGGTAATAAAAATCTTTACAAGGGTACCAGATCATCAGGTATTGGTAGATTCACTAACCATGGTAGATACATTATTCAATGGGAAAAAGTGCGTACATTCGTAACTCCTAAAAATTATAATACTGATTTAAAACCATTAGTCAGTAAAGATGTGCCTGAATTAAAACATGCATTTAAAGGTTACGAAAATGGTGTTTATGATACCAAATTATATTTTGCAAAATTAAAAGATTATATCAAGAATGGACAAGTTCAAAGTAAAGCATCTGATATCTCATGTTACGTGGAAAGGGGTTGATGTACATTTCACTACATCCTGTAAATAATTCTTAGAACAAATATATATATATGAACAAAATATTATAAGTTAAATATTTCAACATTCAATAATCATATCATTTTCATTTTAATTAACCTTATCTAGTTAATTCACTTTAGTACATATTGATTTAGTATACAATTGAATCGAGTAAAGTTATGTCTTATTTACTTATTTGATCTAATTTATATAGTTGAGTTTAATTTTATTTTTCGAAAAAATTTAAAGTTATTACATGAAGCCATTTGGAGCACCTAAAACTTGTGTCAAAGCACTTTGTCCTCCAGATTGTTGGTATTCTAAGGTGATTAATTCCAATAAAGAGAAACCACCGGCAATACCGATAACAATACCAGCAGCTTTACCTTTCAAACCCAATAATTCACCGGCAACAGCGATTAGGGCTAAAGTGGTAGCACCAGTAGTAGCAGCAATTGGAACGACCTTTTCCAATTCCTTGGAAATGTTTTGTTCTCTACGACCTGACAAAGTAATACCTTGTTCCTTAAATTGAACGGCCAAATCCTTTGAGGAAGAGCCAGAAATGTTTTGCCATTGGTATGCGAACCAAACACCGGTAATGACCATGAATAGAGTGAATACAACATTGGTCAATGGTTGTTCCATGATACCGACGAAGAAAGATCTTGGTGGAGTAATCAAAGATAATGGGAAGGTTGGAACGTATAAAATGTTGTTACCATTTTCGTAGTGACCTAAAATCTTACAGATAATGCTATCAACATTGTTCTTGGCGATCAATTGAATCAA